CGTGTTTGTAGTCCGATGTGTTCGCGGAGGCAAAGGCGGTGTTCCGTGCCGCCAGTGCCGCGCGAACATCTCCTGGCGGCACAACATGTCTGTTGTGATATAAGTGATATAAATAAACTTGGCTTGACTTTAAATTTTAAATTGATTAACAAATCAAAAACAAAAACCTTGTCACTATTGTACATAATAAAAATGGTAACACCTAACAAATAACCAACACAAAAACCACTGTTTAATGTAACATCACCATTAAATTTCACTGTTCATACCTCATGGTGCTGTTATAATCCAGGTTTAAACATTATTTACAGCACGGTAAAAGAACATGAATTAAAAAAAGCCAAAGTAGTTATCTCTGTGCAAATTAGTGATGATTAATTCAAGTAAAGTATCTCATAAACGTACTAAATAAAAGTCAAAGTGGAATATACTCTATATACATATTTTTAATGTACCAAAAACTAGAGCATAATGTCAATAACCCAGCAGCTCAGTTTTCTCACAATTCAGATTATTGCCTGTAAAGTGACAAACGTAACCTTGATCTTCACAATCAGAATCAGAATACTTTAATAATCCCTAAGGAAATTATGCTATCTTGAGACGCTTTATATTGTAAGGTAAAGCCCAAAGACCATTATGTGTAAATTTGAACATTTCTATAGGAGGACTAATGAGTAACGAAAAGTTCACAGGTCCTTTGGCTGAATGAGCTAAATATACTATTGGAAATGAGTAGAAATCAATCAATAAAAAGAATATTCTACCACAAATACACAATATGCTTATCATAAAGAAGTTTTGTACTCATACTGAATTTTACACAATTTTTACACCAGGTGTCCTGCATGACGCAATCCTCTTTGGGATTTGCGTCTCCTCCCAGGCTTGACTCAGACTTTTCAGGTGTTAGGCAAATCCTTAATCACTACACAATAGTGCCACTGTACTTTTTGGACTGTGCAGTATCATGTAGTATGTTTATATACTACACAAAAATATCATTTTAACAGTTTTAAAAATACCAGAGGCTATCTTTCCATTCTTCAGTGGTTTAAAGTAGTTGCAATGCGACGTCATCTGAATTTTCCATCATGTTACAAAATACATGTGAAGGCTGATAACTGGTGTTAAGATTTCCAGTCCTTGTTCATTTGGAAATCTGGGTTTTGGTGATCTTGTGTGATAAAGCAAATAAGTAAGTTAAGAAATGAGCAAATGAAAACTATTCTAAGCAGTGAACATTCAGCTGAGACTCTGAAATTATTGACACCAGCAATTATATTAATGATGCCTGTATTAGTGTTAAAGTTTGTCACGTCTGACTGACAGACTGCTATCACTTACCAGAATGATGAAGACAATATATATTATGAAAAGGATCTCTTATAGTGGTAACCGTGTGTTTGATATGTGGCACAAGTCTGACTGAACTCTCAAGGACAGTTTGTTGCTGCGTAAAGACGAGAATTGGACCAGTAGATCAGTAAAATTAATGAGTAAGAAAAGCACAGTTATGTCAAGGAAAAACAATCAAACAAACACATTTTTGAATTTTGGCAACAAAATGACAAACATTTTCCACCTTTGAAAATTGGAAGTTGTGGCTAGCTAGGGCTGCTCAATTAATCGAATTTTAATCACGATTACGATCTGGGCTTTCAACGATCATTAAAAATAACTGAGCCAATTATTAGCCCCTCCCTCGTGCTTTACTCGCGCTGCTCCGTGTGGCAAATCGAGCGCACCTCTCTGCATTTCGAACACGTGTCACAACAATTAAGAGCAGCGGTCCCCAACCTTTTTTGCGCCACGGACCGGTTTATGCCCGACAATATTTTCATGGACCGGTATTTGCCAAAAACTGATTGCTCGTATTTAAACTGCTAAAAGTAACTTGTTGGGCTATAACATGTGAAACACGTGTCAAATGCATCCCTCATGGATGACATAAAGTCATCTTGAGCCACAAGCAACATTCGTGTAACAAGGTAGAAGCCACAATCAGTTTTTGGCAGTGACTTTTATATAACCTTTACTTATGCAGTTACAAAAATCTCATTAACATTAAAAATGTCTTCTGTAAGAGTAAGTTGGCCAAGAGGACTGCAGAAATGGCAGCAAATATTACAATAGTTCTGTAAAAATATTTTAAGTGGGGATAAAGGACCAGATTGGTTATAATGTAAGTACAATAACACAGAGTTATAAAGATACTTGAAAAACAGATAATTTTTAAATTCTATATATAACCCCTTTGTAAACCCTGTTCACCGAAGTCTATTTACCAACATACGTAAAGATATTACATGTAAAAAAAATACACGGAAACATTGGAAATCAGTTTTTGGCAGGCAATCACTTTTTGGCACAACACTCGGCCTTTAAGGTGTCGCGGATAAATACAACAAAATAAAACTAGTACCGGTACCGAAAAAAAGAAGATTTATTCATAACACACGTGAAAAGACCAAGGAAAACCGAGTAAACGATAAAAACGATAACAAAATAACCCTGAAAATCGATAAAAACCCTGAAAACTATACATTTCACACCTGAGCCTCAACTCTCGCAGCCCGGTACCAAACGACTCACGGACCGGTACCGGTCCGAGGCCCGGGGATTGGGGACCGCTGATTAAGAGGACCCGAGGAAAGCTAGGAAAGCTAAGCAGAAGTTATTTGGAGAGGAGAGTGACTGCCGTTGGTTGAAAAAAGAGGTAACAAAAAAAAACTTCAGTGGTGTGGAAACATTATGGGTTCGCGGAGTCAGACGTGGATCAAGTAGACATAGTGTGTAAACTTTGCTACAGTGTCGTAGCTGCACCACAGAGCAACGCTGCAAAGTTCACTAAACATAGATGTTTACATTTTTCATTTATTTTTTATATTGCAAACATTTGCACTGTTATCAGTATTTGCACACTATTTTATATTATTTTTTGACAATCTTTAAAGTCATTATTCAATACATTGTTATTGTTAAATAAATATCGTCAAATAATCGAGATCTCAATTTCAGTGAAAATAATCGTGATTATCATTTTTGCCATAATCGAGCAGCCCTATGGCTAGCTTTATCAAAAATAAAAACAGCACTGATAAGAACACTGTTTTGCACATCATTGTGTTTGCAGAGATAATTTTGATGGGCATCGCTACTCCCAGTCACGGGAAAAAATCCCGTTGAGATTCTCAATACTTATTTATTACTTATTTATTCCTTGTGGAGTTTGGTGTGTATCTTTAGATTACACTGGTGTCTAAATCTTTTGCCACAAAATCCACAGTTATAAGGTTTCTCCCCTGTGTGAACTCTAATGTGCGTCTCAAGATGAATCTTTTGATTGAATCTTTTGCCACAGAAATCGCAACCAAATGGTTTCTCTCCTGTGTGGACTCTCATGTGTATCTTTAGATTCCCCTCTTGGTTAAATATGTTACCACAAACACCACAAACAAACTGTTTCTCTCCTTTGTGGAGTGCCATGTGTGTCTTCAGATTACACTGGTAACTAAACGTTTTACCACAATCGCCACAGGTATACGGTTTCTCTTCTGTGTGAACTCTCATGTGTCTCCTAAGTTCAATCTTTTGGTTAAATCTTTGCCCACAATTGTCGCAACTAAACGGTTTCTCTCCTGTGTGCACTCTTATGTGCATGTTAAGATTTCTTCGATAGTTAAATCTTTGTCCACAAATGTCACAGCTAAATGGTTTCTCCCCCGTGTGGACTCTTATGTGTCTGGTAAGGTTTGTCTTTAGGCTAAATCTTTTACCGCATTTATCACAAGCATACGGTTTCTCTCCAGCATGGAGCCTCATGTGTACATTCAGACTTCCTTGATATCTAAATCTTTTACCACAATCTGCACAACAGAATGGTCTTTCTCCCGTGTGGACTCTCATGTGTACTCTAAGATCTTTCATTTGGTTAAATCGTTTACCACAATCATCACATCCAAATCGCTTCATCTGAGAATCAACACTTTGCTCCACTCTAGAACTTCTTTCATTCACCAAACAACTGGAAGACCTTTTTGCATTATTTACACCTGACTCAGGTGTTCTGTCGTCATTCAATTGGCTGTCGCTGTCGTCAGTTTCAGGTCCACAATCTGACAAAGGTTCCTGCCAGCCATCCTCACTGACTTCAGTCTCAGAAGATTCCGGTGCTTCGCCATCAGTATTTGTTTGTATATTGTTATTTGTACTTCGGTCCATTTTCCTCTGTTCAGAGGAGTTGCTCGCTTGAGTCTCCGTCTCTATCTTGTTTTTATTTTGGTTTTGATGAACCTTTAATGACTGAGGCTTCTCTTCTTCATCTTCACTCTTCACATGAACAACAGTAAATGGAAACCTCTTGATATCCTCCTCCAGCCCATTACAGTGAACTCGCTCTTGATTTTTCCACAGCTCTGAGTCAGGATGGTTCACACTGGGGCTCCATTCACATTCATGGGAAACCTCTTCTTTTATCACCAGTAGCTGCTGGACATCTACAGGGAAGACTGAAACACACACACTCATAATTAAGAGCAAAAACTCTATAATCACATAACTTATCAGTGGTACTAATACTCCATGTTAGTGAGATCTGAGATGACTGTGGATACACAGTGCTATTGAATATAATCTAAATTAATCTTAACTGTGACCACCTAATAGAAAATGACATTGCCATCCAATACCATCCAGCCAGCAGTGCTGCCCTTCAGCCTCTTAGCAGATGAACCTATGTTATAAATTTGAAAATCATGGGTAGTTTTCAGAAAAGTTGACTTCTCCTATCAGGTGGGGTGTCGACAATACCCTATCAGGCTTTTACGGCTGAAGGGTACACAAATGCCCGTATATTCTCCCAGTTCAAAAAATCATTTCAATTCTGAGTGTCCGACTGAGTATTCAGTTTTCATTTGTGCCAGAAATACACAACTCAACACTAGTCATGCAGCTCCTCTTCTGATATGTACAGCTATTGGCATCATACACCTTTACAATGCTCCAAATTTATTCTCACCCCACCATTTCCTATTGCTGAATATTACACCCACTACTGCTACCTACTACTAACCTATAACATAAAAATCAGCAGGATAGATTTCCTTTTACTGAACTGTTTCAGTTAACAGGGAATACTTATAAATGTATTTTTTTTTCTGTCAGGGTGAACCATTTGATTGATTAGCTAACATTTAACCATTACACAAAGAACGATCATCCACTGGCAAACATTTTAGACCAGGAAATACAAAATCAATCATTTGAAGTGGTCCTTTTCTCCATATTTTTAAATGCAGGTAACATTCACTGAGTATTTTCATTCCTCTGGGACAAGCTAATGATGGACGTTGACTTCTTTGCACAGCTGGATTTCTTGTTTTTAATACTTCAACTTTCTGCATTTTATGAAGTTTTTTGTGTACAATTTTTCTGTAATCTGTATGCTAATGATCCAGAATTAGAGGAATTGCATATGCCATCACAATTGTAAAAATGTTGTGACACTGCATAAAATGTAAATAAAACAGATTTGCAAGTCTCATAAATCCACATTTTTTTTATTCACAATAGAACACAGACAACCTGTCAAATGTCACAGCTAAATGTTTTGCGAGCTTAGATTATTTATCTGGTTAACAGTGGTTTAATGGTTGTACAGCAATAGTGCTAACGAGCATGACCGAGGGGGACCCTGAGCTGATGGACAGGTGCAGGTCAGACTTTGGGAAGACTTGTCTTTGATTCTAAAAAGAGGTCACACATCAGCTTGTGCTGCTAGTTTTAAAGTATCAGTCTACTAAAATTCTGCAAATCAAATGCTAATGTTTTGAGGATACTTTTTGCTCATAGTCAGCTGTTTGCACAGATAATGTCTCTGTTGTTTGTTGCCTCTGCAATCAAAGACATGTATGCACTTTTATAACTATGGCTACAGCTCTCTGAGTGTACATGCATGGCTGCAGTTATGCAGGCTGTGTGTGAGAGCAAACACCTTTAATTTTTTTTTTTAATGGAATAGTAAATTTACTTGAACCAAATGCCCCTCAGTCAAAGTTGGTTGCTCTTGTTCCTATGCTCTCGTGCCCATGACCCTGTCCCAACTTGCCATCAAATTCAAAATGATCTCATTTCTTTTCTTAAAACGGTAAATTTTTCCAGTTTATAGATGTGGTATGCTTTCTGTGTTATATTGTTAATTAAATATGGGTTTATGAGATTTGCAAACCACTGCATTCAGTCTTTGTTTACATTTTACACAACTTTGTTTGGAAATGGGGTTGTATCTATCAGACGAGTATGCTTAATGTCCGTGTGTCGCTTAGCTTCCTCCCTTAGCTCCTTCTCTCCTTCTATTGGAAGGTATCAGTTCATGTAGCTGACTACATGTTAGGGGGACGCTTGTTCAGACTGACGCAAACGTGGCAAGCTGCGCACTATTTGGAGCCATATGCGGAGATTTTCATTCACAAAAAACCCACTGACCTCACAGATCACCGCTAATTCTTTCAACAAGTTCAAAACACTCACCCGCAGCCATTATACACCTTCTATTCTACCTCTGGATGCTCCTGCCTGATGATGCGCACCCGCACCGGAAACACAACTTGTTCTTCCCCTGTGCAATAATGCACATACTTCCGGTCTATTTTTCATAATAAAAGCCCTAGATATATTCTTTACTATCCTTAAACTGTATTAGTGAATCTGTATGGCAAAGACCATCGCCTTCTGTACAATGAGCAGGAAAACACTCTGTCTAAGGGAAACTACCATCACTTTTTGTACTATGAGCTTTCCTCTAGTTGGCTTGTAATTTTCTCGACCAGTTACGTTTAAGTAGGTTTTTGCTGCATATGTAGCAGGTTGAAAAAGCTACATGTTTTGCAAGAAAACCCATTACCCCCTTATTTTTTGTTTATTATTGTGACTTATTTTGACATTGTTATGTGTTGCCAGACCATGGTTATATTTCATTATGCCAGTAGATGGTGCTCTTGCACTGCTGGAACTACCAGAGACTCTAGCTATAGGCTCTACGCATGCGCAGCTCAGAAATAAATGAGCTCCGGCCTGAGCAAGACGCTAACTTTGGTGTCCTCTCTATTAATCGACAGGTACTGACAAACAAACTTTTATGTTACCGAACTGGTTCTAAATGTCATGTAAGTTGAGTAACAACTGTTCGGCAATATTTTGAGATGAGTGGTATTTTGTTGTAATGAGTATTAGTGTATCATCGGCATAATGCTTTAATGCTACGTAGCACTATAAGTATATGCTATGACAGTGGCAACCTGCCACTTCCGAAAATGTGTTTTAGTGTTTGTTTTAGTGTTAGCCAAGCAGTACTGAGTACATGTATTAAGGGGAAAGCTTTTTGTTGGTGAAACAACGTTTGCAGTCGTCTGCCGCCATGTTGTGTTGCGTTCAGGGGACGCCATGTTCAAAAGTAATAGCGTATATGGCGCGAATGTGGGGAAAGGTTGTGTGAATGTGAGATGGGTTATTTTGGTATGTTGTTATGCTTTAACCGTGAGTGTTTTGTTTAAGTTGTGAGTATGTAAAGTCATTTTGAATTAGTTTGTATTTATTTTGCTTTTGAGAGAATGCTTTTTGTAACTTTATTTATGTTTATGAACTCTGTTATTTTATGGGAAGAATGCATGGTCTAGTGTGATTTGTATTGTGTATATGTAGGAAATAAATGAGCTCCGGCCTGAGCAAGACGCTAACTTCGGTGTCCTCTCTATTAATCCACAGTTTGCTCATATTTGGCTACGCAGTGCTCTCTAGCCTGTGTGCCGCTTGCTGCCGGTGTTCCAGATCAACTGGCGTTTAGATCAACTGGCGTTTAGATCAACTGGCGTTTAGATCAACTGGCGTTGGTCGAACAGATGTGTGGCAGTCTTGCGTTTCAAGAGCTGCTACCGACAAACCAGCAAAAAAATGCCAAATGTGTCATCTGTGACACTTGTGAGGTTACCTCAAACACACTCCGTCAGTCTTGATGCTGTTGAACAACAAAATGTTTAAAAATGTGGCGAGTTTACCTGGTGATATCCTCATGCGCGACGCGATCGCGAAAACAGCAAACAAGTAACACCACGCCGATGTTGTTCACAGGACAGCAAGAGTAAACGATCGGGAGACCCTAGTCGTCGTTATCGTTCCCCTCGCACGGTTTATTTCTCCGAATTCAGCGTTTTTGCTTCACAACTAAAGCGAGCAGTTTACTTTGTGTGCACTAACATGGACTCGAGTCAACCAGCGCCACCTCTGGCCAAGTGCCACAGCCTACAGCCAGATCAACCTGTGACACACATCTGCACCACGTTTGATTTCGTTTCTTGCACAACACATTTGTACCTTTCAATTGTGTCTGTTTGTGCATCATGCAAATAAACCTTTGAAAAGAATGACATGACACTAATATTTCACTAGTGTTGTAACATCACATGTCGTTAGCGTAGTCTGCCTGTGTCTTTTCTCTGCAAACAAACATTTTAGAGTTGGTTGTTATATACAGTCTGTATAAGTGTGGTGAATCAAATAAACATTTGTAAGGAGATGGCAGTTACTCTGAATGTACAGCAGTTACACAGTGATTAGTAATAAACAGTCAGACAATGACTCTGACAATCTCATTCAATCTTGCAGACTGAATGCACCTTCTGTGGAAAGCGGTACCACACGGTGTGTGTGTGTGGACTTCCCCTGTGCAGAAGGCGACTACAAATGTTGTGGGTGCTAAATAAACAGAAAAAAGTGATCCCTGTTGTCTTTGCTTACTGATTGTTTTTAGTGTTGACAATCCTCATTGCTGCCTTTGCATCTTTCAACATGTTTGTGGGAAGATTTGGATGTACCAGGGGTAAGTGCAGCCACTCAGCCTCTACTCAATGTCATCATAGCAGCAGGTGAAAATGTGTCACAAGTTAATCTAGTAGTAGGCTATGGTAGTAGTGGACTGACCTCCATTTGAAACTGCTCCAGCTGCTGTGTGATAGTGGATCTGCTACAACTTGAAGATCATATGGAAGTTTTGGTAATCAACCCTTGTATTATGTTGAAGAACAAACAATTGACATTGATTTTGTTGTGGGTCATTCTGACCCATACTGTGTAAATCCACTCAGAATTATCCAAAAACTGCAATAAAACAGTAGCAACTTTATTTTCCATTAGATAAACATGTAGAACACAGACATACAACAGTTAGACTTTTTGGTTTTTCGTTCTTACAAACACATTTCTTTTGAACTTGCCCAACGTTCTCAGTTTTTCAATGCTCAACATTTTCTATTTTGTCCACATGATGGACAGAATGTAACTATGTGCTTTCTGCAGATGTACTTCTTGCATTTCTCACAAAATGTGCTTGTTTTCAAACAGGAATCTTCCTAACTAAGATTTAAAACAAAAGATTTCTACGTCTCCTCCAGTCTCACAAACAGATGACAAACCAAGCGACACACCTGAGTCACTGACTTTCTTAAATCCACTCACTCTCACTGGCTGTTTATTACTAATCACTGTGTAACTGCTGTGAATTCACAGTAACTGCCGTCTCCTTACAAATCTTCATTGGATTAACCACACTTATACAGACTGTATATAACTCCAGCCATGTTGATGGATTGCCTATATTGGCTGGAAATATTAATTTCCAGAGAAAGGACACAGACAGACGATGCTTACAGGATGTGATGTGACAACACTAATGAAATATTGATGTGTCATATTTGTCCAAGGCGTATTTCATTGTTATGGAAAAAGAGAATATCAAAATCATGATGACCAATTGGAGTGGTGATGTCTATGACTTTGTGTATATAATTTGGGATTTTGTACAAATGTAGGCCAACCCGGAGGGCGGTGCACTGTTGGACGGACCAATCGGAGTCTGCGCTGCGGGACTGTTTTGATCACGCGGACTGGGAAATGTTTCACGTGGCTGCTAGGGACATTGATGAGTACACAGACTCAGTCTGTGGATTTATCAGGAAATGCGTGGAAGATGTCGTCCCATCCAGAACAGTTAAATCCTTCCCAAATCAAAAACCCTGGATTAACGGAGATGTTCGCGCGGCACTGGCGGCACGGAGCACCGCCTTTGCCTCCGCGAACACATCGGACTACAAACACGCACATTACCAACTCCGGAAGACGATCAAAGCAGCCAAACGTGAGTACAGGGACAGGGTGGAGCAACAGTTTGACAACCCTCGGAGTATGTGGCAGGGACTAAACACGATCACAGACTTTAGAGGGAAAACCAGCACACCGCAGACCACGGCCTCTCTGTGTGAGGATCTAAACGTATTCTACGCTAGATTCGACACAGCGAACACCATGAGACCGGACAGTGTGCGCACCGCGGATGACGTCAGTGCGCACACTGTGTCTGAGGAGGATGTGCGGAAGTGCTTCAGGAAGGTGAACGCACGCAAAGCTACTGGTCCGGACGGGATTCCCGGCCGCGTCCTCAAGTCATGCGCGGCTCAGCTGGCTGGAGTGTTCACGCACATCTTCAACCTTTCCCTCTCTCTGTCTGTAGTCCCAGCCTGCTTCAAAATGGCCACCATCGTCCCTGTACCCAAATCCTCCACCATCTCCTCATTGAACGACTGGCGACCTGTAGCCCTGACCCCCATCGTGAGCAAATGCTTCGAGAAGCTGGTCAGGGACTTCATCTGCTCTGCACTACCCGACTCACTGGACCCTCTACAGTTCGCATACCGCCACAACAGGTCCACTGATGATGCCATAGCCCTGACACTACACACTGCCCTGTCACACCTGGAGAAGAGAGACACGTATGTGAGAATGCTGTTTGTAGATTACAGCTCAGCATTCAATACCATCGTTCCCTCGAAGCTGGACAGGAAACTGCAGGATCTAGGACTGAGCAGCTCCCTCTGCAGCTGGATCCTTAGCTTCCTGTCTGACAGACGCCAAGTGGTCAGACTGGGCAGCATCACCTCATCCCCCATCACACTGAACACTGGTGCTCCACAGGGGTGTGTACTGAGCCCTCTCCTGTACTCACTCTACACCTACGACTGCACAGCCACTAACAACTCCAACATCATTGTGAAGTTTGCGGACGACACTACAGTGGTGGGTCTTATCACCAACGGTGATGAGACGGCTTACAGGGAGGAGGTCAGCGCCCTGACCCACTGGTGTCAAGACAACCATCTCACCCTCAACGTCGCAAAGACAAAGGAGTTGATAGTGGACTTCCGGAGGTGCAGAGAAGTACACACCCCCATCACCATCAACGGCGCTGCTGTGGAGAGAGTGAGCAGCTTCCGGTTCCTTGGAGTACATCTGGCTGAGGATCTTACGTGGTCAGTACACACAAACAAAACAGTGAAGAAGGCGCAGCAGCGCCTCTTCTTTCTCAGGAGACTGAAAAGATTCGGCATGAGCCCCCGCATCCTCAGGACCTTCTATCACTGTGCCATTGAGAGCATCCTCACTGGATGCATCACCACCTGGTATGGCAACAGCACCGCCTACAACTGCAAAGCTCTCCAGCGAGTAGTGCGGTGCTCTGAACGGATAATTGGAGGTGAGCTTCCCTCCCTCCAAGACATCTACAGGAAGCGGTGCCTGAGGAAAGCGGGGAGGATCATCAAGGACTCCAGTCACCCCAGCCATAAACTGTTCAGACTGCTTCCATCAGGAAGGAGGTTCTGCAGCATCCGGTCCCGTACCAGCAGACTGAGAGACAGCTTCTTCCATCAGGCCATCAGACTGCTGAACACGTCATAGACACCTCAGCTTCACTACTGGAACTTTAACATTATGCACTCCACACTGTACAGTAATGCCACTTGTTTTGCACATATTCAACTCTGTATATTTTATATATTTTATTATTATTATTATTATTTTTTTATTTTATTTTTTTACTATTTAATTTGTAAAAATGTGTATACACACACACACACACACACACACACACACACACACACACACACACACACACACGTAGGAAAATATTTAGTATACACATCCAGAAATGCATACACTATTATATATTGTACATATATTTATTAGTTTCAGGTTGGCCATTCTTGTATTTTGCTCGTTTGTGTTGTTGTGTTTGCACATCTCTGTTGCTTGTGGGGCTCGCACACAAGAATTTCACTCGCATGTGCTGTGCCAGTGTGCCTGCACATGTGATGTGACAATAAAAGTGATTTGATTTGATTTAGATATATGATATCATTTCATTCTTTTCAAAGGTTTATTTGCATGACGCACAAACAGACACAATTGAAAGGTACAAATGTGCATGACACGAATTCAAACGTGTGCAGATGTGTGTCACAGGTTGATCTGGCTGTAGGCTGTGGCACTTGGCCAGAGGTGGCGCTGGTTGACTCGACTCCATGTTAGTGCACAAAGTAAACTGCTCGCTTTAGTTGTGAAGCAAAAACGCTGAAACCGGAGAAATAAACCGTGCGAGGGGAACGATAACGACGACAAGAGTCTCCCGATCGTTTACTCTTGCTGTCCTGTGAACAACATCGGCGTGGTGTTACTTGTTTGCTGTTTTCGCGATCGCGTCGCGCATGAGGATATCACCAGGTAAACTCGCCACATTTTTAAACATTTTGTTGTTCAACAGCATCAAGACTGACGGAGTGTGTTTGAGATAACCTCACAAGTGTCACAGGTGACACATTTGGCGTTTTTTTGCTGGTTTGTCGGTAGCAGCTCCTGAAACGCAAGACTGCCACACATCTGTTCGACCAACGCCAGTTGATCTAAACGCCAGTAGATCTGGAACACCGGCTCTTTCAGCTCGACTCCCTACAAAGATCCAGCTCTTTTGGCTCCCAACCAGGGGCCCGTTCTTCGTACCTCGCTAAGTAAGTTAGCTGGATTAGATTGTTGACGATTTCGCGTGATCCTGGATCGTTCGGTTCCCCGAAGCTCATCCGGGACTTGCTGTCATAGCAACAGAGCCGTAAGCGTAAACCTGCTCGGGAGCAGGTTTACTTTATGTAAACAGGATTAGATCGCGGCCACGCAGGTATGTCCGCTTCATTTATACGAAAGCAACAGCGATATTCCACCACTGTTTCACCATAAATAAATAACATCAATGTAACTAAAGATAATGCAGCACTTGATCCTTGTATTGATGTCACACAGATACATACAGGTCATTTCCTAAAAAAGGGAAATGTACTATTAACATTCTATTACATGTATGTGATTATTACAGATGTAATTCATATTTCAGAGTAGCAATTGCAAATTACTTCGTGTAATCAAGATGAGAGACCACGGCTATAAAAGCGAAGGTGGATTTGGGAAGCCTGTCGCAGCCATGTCCTGTCCGTATACGCGAGCCACCCATTGCGGAAGGTGCAAGATTGATAAGGAGAGTTTTCAGAATTCAGCGTATATTGCGGGACAGACAGGATCCTTTAGCTCAGCGCGACAGTGTGCTCATAGAGAGATATCGATATTCCCGTGAGGGTATTATTCACTTAACCAACATGTTGACGAGGGGGTGCAGGACCACCACCTGTCTTTTTTTGCTCTGCCCTTTTCTTGGTTGCTGTTATGAACAAACTAACAGATTATTTCAGGGTCTCTTTCCAAGAGACGAAAAGCAATATAAGTGATAAATATTACCATTCTGTAGAATATTCTTATATTTCACTTTTACTTGTTCCCATGTTCTAGTGGGTCCTGTTGTGGCTCTAATGTGAAAGGGGATATAATATGACAATATAATATAATGTAATATAATATTGGATAATATAGTGTAATATAATAAATCTATAAATAGGCTAAATAATAAAGTGACTGAATAGTGGTATTGTCATGCGCTTTGGGTGCCTTGAAAAGCGCTATATAAACCCACTCCATTATTATTGTTATTATTACATTACTTACGAGTTTGATTTGTCAGCAACTTTCTGCCAGCCCTCTCTCCTTGCTTTTGCAGCCTTTGCAGTGTTCCCTTGCGTTTTAATTAAACTCTGAAACTCCTGAAATCCCTCACTCATGAGTTCTTGCTCTGCTGCCGGAAAATACCGAGCACGCCCCTTCGACATTTTCGCCGACCAATCAGAGGCTTGCCGATCACTGTTTCTGCTATCGATGCGTAGCCCCTTTTACGACACCCAGTGATCGCACATTACTTCATCCAGCTGTAGTAATCGTCAACAGCAGGTGTGTTCGGGGAACCGGATTAGCGAGCTCACGGTTAGCGCGATGATTTGATCTTGGATGTGTCATTTGATCTTGGATGTAGTAAGCGACGTACGAAGAACGGGCCCCAGCTCTTCATGTTGTTTTGTTGCTTTAATTAAATTATTATTAACAACAATATAAAATAATGCACAAAATGAATTACTCGTGTTAAAAAAACACACGTATTTACTTATATATGTTTATTAGGCTGCCACAAACGATTATTTTGATAGTCGACTAGTCACCGATTATTTTTGCGATTAGTCGACTAATCAGATCATGCATCCATTGGACGTAAACGTACAGCTTATTGCACCAGCAGCATCTGCTCTTATATAACTATCATTAGCTTACAGCTTTAAGTGTTTAAGGTATGTGCTAACTAAAAATAAAGACAAGATGATAGTTTATTAAATTTTAATGAAATTTGCAGATTGTTTCGGTGAAGTTTAATAAACTCAGCCGTCTGTCCTTGCTATCTAAAATATAACAGGACACCGGAGTATATTCAGTTGTCTGCTTTTTGGGGCTCAGGGGGTTGGGAAGCGTATCTGTAACCGGAAGGTCGCCGGTTCGATTCCCGGGCTCTCTGTCCTGTGCCCAAGGACACAACGACCTTGGGTGAGACACTTCACCCTACCGCCTACTGGTGTTGGCCAGAGGGGCCGATGGCGCGATATGGCAGAAAGAATAATAAGAGTAATATTAAAACTAACTAGCTGCGCCATTGTTGGAAACTGAGCTGGGCCGCGCTATGAATTCTGGGACACAGCTTCTTCTTCTTCGGGGTTTAACGGCAGCTGGCATCCTTGTACATGCAGTGCTGCCATCTTCTGTTTCAGTCCGTTATTACACTCTTAAATCCTACTACTTATTCCTGCGTCTTTTGGGATCTTACAAAGCTTCAAACGACGCGTCGACTATTAAATCAGTCGTCGACGATTTTGATAGTCGACGTAATCGTGTACTGTGTAATAATATTCAACACTGCTATCAATACATTTTTCAAAAAACATCTGTGCAAAATGGGTTTAAAAACAAAAACAACTGTGGGATACTGTTCTTCCGTGATTTGAACCAGGGAAACAAATTGTGGCAGGATCAGCCTGATATTATTTGTATCCCACTGTAACTTAACTGTATAAAGAGCTAATATCACCAAAATGTCATTATAAGAAGTGTTTGTGAAATAAAAATAAAGAATGTGGGATACTGTTTGTCCCAGATTTGGACAGCCAGTGCGTGCTCCCTACACAGGGGAAATAAATTCTGTTAGTGATACATACTATGGCACCACCATGGTATGTATAACTTATAGTCAGACTAAAGCCAGACTTTCAGATCCTCCCTGTTTGGAGGTAACGCTCCCTGATTCCTAAATGTACTCTTTTTCCTGTGGATTAAGGTTTGTTGCAGGTTTACACAGGGATAAGTGTATCCAGGTTTTCCTTTCAGCAACTTCAACTGCTTTGGGTTTTGTCTTTTTTTGTTGTTGTTTTGTTGTTTGTTTTTAGCAATACCTGATACGGTCCCTACCACCTGGGGCTCGACCATGTCTTGCTTTTTATGGCCTTGATGCTTACCCAATCTTCAGGCTTCACTGGATTAGTGGAGTCCCCTAGGTCCTGTAGGGGGATTACATGAGATAATTACAGATATCTTTAACTACATCTTTTTTTAAACTGGACTAAATTTGCTTCTTCATCCTCGCCATCCCTAGAGAATGGTCTCAGTTTAGTTCAGGTAGTCTATATGGTCAACTATACACAATCTCAAATGTAGTTATTCTCATGTAAAAGTAGGCACTCAAACCAGTTCCTTCCTGTCTCCAAATGATTTTGTCCTATACTTGGATTTTAAACCT